AAGATCACATGGTTTAGATAGATGATGAAGCGGCAACACGGAGTGGCCGCACCAACGCCGGGGGAACCGTGCTTTGGGGTGGTGAAAGATAAGCTGTCACCGTCCAATATGACCCAAATATCTCCAGCAAAGCAGAGTGGGAAGGGGCGGTGCAAGCGTTGAAAGGAGGAAGAAACTGGCCAATGAACAGTGACTGTCGGCAGACCATGGTTACTGCACGTGCAATTCAACTGAATCCACCCCTCCCCCCTCACCATCAGGCTTTGCTCAGTATTTTCCCTTTTTTGCCTTCATCAGTCCCTCTCAACCTCGCTTGCTTGCTGCTGCCTGCTGGCCCTGTCCCGTCTTTCCGGCAGGCAAAAAGGTGTCCTCAGAAGTGGTCCCACTTTCTTGGCTTTTCTACTTTCAAGTTTTGCGGCTGTCTCAAATCATAAAGAGACGCATCGATATGTTGACTAATTCTGACTTCGTACCATACGGTTTGGGTTTTCTCTCTTTGGGCTTGAAAGATTTAGAAAAATAAAGGGAAAAATCGATGGGCTTTTGATGGAAATGGCAATTTGGCCCAATTCAAAAGTTGCTTTTTATCTCCCGTCGCTTTTCGTCTTCAATCATTCAACTCCTTTTGAGATCAAAATTTGGATTTAGGAGCGACTACACAGTGTTCAGATAAATTGTCATTATTAGCATGCTAATCTTGGAATTTATATTTAGAACCTTGATTTAGACCATAAAAATTATTAATAACTATTTTTTTTAAAAAAAGAATCGTGATGTATTAAGCTGGAGTAAATTAAATGAATTCTTATTATATTTATTTTCAATAATTAACTCTAGTTGTGTCTCTTGCACTTAAAATTAGCACCCACCATGCATTTTTATCAATTGAGAAGATATAAATATTCCATGTTTAAAGGGTTAAAGTTGCTACCTTTAACAATGAAGCATTTTGATTCTTATACGGGTTTCCTAAGTTAGAGAGGGCAATTAATTGATGAGCAACACTTCCAGTTTTGTCATTTAAAGAAAGGCCAAAGGCAACAAGGCATCTTTACATTGCATAAATATTTCTAGTGTTCATATTGCAATTTGCTTTGAATTTGATCAATCCCTACAAGGGATGAGAAAATTAATTTGTATTTAATCTATGATTAAAGCATCCAATAATCCAGGGCCTATTTTTTCTGTGTTATAATTGATTTAGCAGGCCTTTATACCGTTAATTCGGTCTTTAACCAAAGAAAAATAAGCTGAAAGAAGTAACTTGTACAGGTCGCTTTCATGTTTTTCTTTTTCTTTTTTATTATTAATTATAAATATGGAAAATAAAAAGGAAAACTTCCTAAAGCTGTGTATATTTTATTCACATGTTTCTCATTTTATTTATTTATTTATTTTATAATTACGGATACATCGAACAATGGACAAATGTAATCAAAGCTTGAGTCGGACACTGACCTCCCTAAATTAAATTGGACAATGATGAGAAAGGTGACCAATAAACCCAAAACATATATATATATATATATAAAAGAAATCTTGGTTTTGATAATGTTGTGGGGAAAGGTCCTGCATATGATTCATGACATCAACTGGTATTGCAGACAAATGCCAGCTGTCCTTCAAGGGAAGCCAACGAATTTGTGGCTGCTTTGCTTAATTAAACTTTTTGGTTTAGTGTTTTAAGTTCAATTTACATCATTTTCGATGTTTCATTTGAGTCGTAATTAGATTGAAAATAATAGATTTAAATTATGCCATTATTTTATTCAGTTTAAAAAATGGTGTGGACAATAGAGTACTAGAGTAAGAAGGTTCCATTACAAGAGGCTACGCATCAAGGACAAATTAAGATGTAGTACATCTACCTATCAATATATAAATATATATAATATACAATATTTTTATAAAAATTAATATTTTATATATGTCCGTAAATTTTTTTAATTTTTAAAAGTTAAATTATAATATTGATATATTTTTTAATTTATTAATATTTTGAATATATTTTAACGTAGAATAATAAAATTTATCTAAAGAGATGCTTTTTCATGAGTAAAAGTGATTAAATATCAAGTTGTTTGAAGTCAAAATAATACGATTTTTAATTTTTTTTTTTTTAAAATCTTATTATTTTGACTTCAAACAACTTGATTTTTTTGGTTTGTAGCATTAGTACTTTTTTTCTTGTAAAAATAAATATCATTATAAATAAATAATTCCTCCGTCCTACTTTGATTGTCTCTGTTTGATTTCAATAATTTTAAAATATTTTAATTTTTTGTATAATTGATAATTCCTGATTATTAATGTAAAAAAATAAAAAAAGAAAACTAATTTTAAAATTTAAAAATGATATTATTAAAATTACTTTTTATACATAAAATTTGCATGATACATACTTATTTTTTGCCCAAAATGAAATGTATAACCAAATTGGAGTCCTTCCTTAATACTATTTCTATTCCAAGGTACACGTGTAAACAAAATTAGATCAATTGAATTACCATATGCCATTATATTCCTTACGTACATTAGGATGCGTGGGCGAGCCGTATAAGGCCGAGTTGAAATTAATTCAATTATTATGTTGCCCTTTGCCAGCCAGGCTTACTGGGAATTTGGAAAAATCTTTTGATGGACCTTGTCACCTACCAATACCATGGAAGGGTGGCATGGACCCCATGAGCCATGGACCATGGCGGAATTCCTCCCAAAAAGGATTTGACATATGGAAATGGACTACCACTTCTCCAGTCCATGGCTAGTCCCATATCCTGTTCCTACACCCTAGTGGCCCCTTCAAATGCACCTATAACATTTTGCCGACCTAAGATAAAATCAATCAATTACAGTCCTTCAGATCATGTTCTTGAAATAAAACATTATTGCGTATAGTCCGATCGTTCGTAGTCACGTCGCAATCGCCAACTGATTTTTTTTTATTATTTGTTCGTGCAGAATACACAGTCAAAAGTTTGACTTGGGAAGATAAAAGGAGACCCTCGAGAGAGAAAAGGGTAGGTGCTGTCCTTGGTGTAATAGCGAGGAACAGAACAGAGGAGGGACCTCGGGGATTTGCGGCGTCTACGAATTTTTGGACAAAAATCTTCTCCTTAATATTATATAAATCCCACACGTGGGAATCTGGTAAGGCCCGCACGTGTTTGGACCTCTTTGCTTGGCGTGGCTCTCCCTCAATAAGAAAAAGGGGTTTTGGCTCCGGTGGAACAGATTGTCATGGAGAGAAGTAGAGTCATTAGGTGGGTAAGTTGAAAAACGTGGTGGGCTGTCTGGTTTTTTTAAGAAAAATAAAAGCGAATATATGTTCTTTTCCTAACAGTCTAAATTGGTTGTCCCCCCCGCCCCCCCTTCCTGTGTCTTTTTTCCCTCTTCTCTTTCTTTTTTCTGTCGGGCCAAACGTTTTGATTTTGTTGTGAAACATGAGTTTTGTTTCTCCTTGTATGACTGAATATCTGCAGAGCAAGGGAAAGGGAATCAAGAAAGAAAGCAAAGAAAATTTGTAGGGTTGAAATGAAAACAAGTTCGATTCCATTTCCATTTCATCCCATGACTCTGTTTGTGTTAAGCAGGAGTAGGACACAGGAACTGGCGATTTCCATGTGAATTTACCATTGCCCATGCTCAGACAAAAAAACTGCACCTGCGGCAGATAAAAAGTGAAACTGCTCCATTTTCTCTGTTAAAGAAATCAAACATCATTTCCGCATATATGGACAACTGAAATTATTATCTGTTTTGTTTTTCGCCCGTATGATTGTTTGGAAGATTTGACTTTTAACCTTTTAGACTGTTAACAGACTGATTGATGTTTGCTCCAGAATTTTCGGATTTTGTCCAGCATTTTCCTTGCCTGCTACTGTGGAGGCTGGAAGCAAAGCAGGGCCAGAGAAAAAGTCTGATGATATGGTAATATAATGACACGACCCAACCCAAGCAACTTTGGATTCACAGTCCAATGACCTAGTTAAGGACAGTACTCCTGGTGATCCAGAACCCCAAAAGCTCCGTTCAACATGGCTTTTAAATGGAACAATCTTGCTAAAAGGAGCAAACCTCCATACCTCCCAACAATTTTGGCCCAAACTATTAACATAAAAATATGTTTATATGTAGATGAAATTAGATACCTAATTGCTCATTTTCCATAGCTCTTTTAAGACTTTAATGGTGCAATTAGCCATTATTCCAGGACTTGTTGGTTGGTAGCTTTGTAGACCTTGACAATGCCTGGGAAATTAAATATTTCTTGACTAAAAATGTGCCAATCCTGGTACCAACCAATTGGTAGGTGTTACGACCTGCATATGCAAGCAAAATTCAAATAGTAATTGCTTTATACTTTTCAGCTGTTCACTTGCTCTACCAAAATTGTCAAATCCAACCCATTTCTTTCCGTAAAGTGGGCCTAACAAGCATCCCAATTACTTTTAGCGAACCAGGGTGGATGTTCTTGTGTTTACCCCATTTTTACGGAGTTTGCATATGTTTAGGAGGAACACTGAGATTTTGTGAATATGATGGAGAAGAATCCTATCAGACCTAGGAAATTTCTGCTTCTAGAAGGAAACCTTTCTTGTTTTACATGCTAATGAAAGAAGAAAAAATCCAACTCAACCAGCTGAAAGCAGCGCAATATGGTGGAAAGAAAGAACTGTTTCCACTTAATGGGCTTTGACGGTCCTAAAAGCGTGGGTCAAGATTGAAAATTTTGGTGACCCTGTTCGTTTTGAAAGTTGTGAAATGCCCATCACCGAGTGTTTAATGTAGTGTTATTAGATAAAATCCAACTCCCTTACCGCACTCCACGTCGCTTTGGCCGAGTGGTTAAGGCGTGTGCCTGCTAAGTACATGGGGTTTCCCCGCGAGAGTTCGAATCTCTCAGGCGACGGCTTAAGACTTTTACATTCTGTTAAACTTTCAGTACTTGGGCTTTCACCAAACATTTTTTTTAAGAACTTGTCATTCTTCTTCTCAGGAATCCGACGATAGTAATAATGCTTAACAATCCTTAACAAGGAACGTTGTTATTAGAAATTCTGGCAAGCGTACTCTAGCTCCTTTGATTGAGACAGTCCTTTAAACTTGTCATTCTTCTTCTCAAGAATCCCACAATAGTTAAATAGAAGCCCTTCCCACTATTTGAAATCTCTGAGGGAAGGAATTCTTCCTTCCATCGGCCCTTCAATCTTGGCTGCAGAACATTTACTTTCTAGCAAGGCTCAGCTGATCTTCTGATCTCTTTGAGATGCTCATTACCAGTAATCCTTGCACGAACAACTTCCGCCAACAAAATGATGGAATCTGTTTGAATCTCGCAAGATGATTGGCCTCCCAATAATTTTAGACACAAATTTCATGAATAAATGGCAATCACCACAAACACGAATGTTCTTCATAATCCTAATGGGTGTTGTTGCCTGGGGCTTTTTGATCAATCCAAAAGCGAGAGCAAGTTTCTCACTATGGTAACAAATGGATGCAAACTTTTCCTCCTCCACCACATTATGGAGAACCAGCTTTGTATCAGGCACAAAGCCAGCTTCCTTCAATTTCTTAATCAGTCTGCTCAGTTCTTCATATATGATTTCTGTCTCTGGATGACTTCGATCTTCTGATACAAACTTGTGAACTTCATTATCAATCTCAATCCAACTATAAGCAGCAAACTTCTTGACATTCTTAATTTTCATGAGAGATCTCACAGAGGCCACATCTTCCCATCTCCCACAGGTGGCATACATGTTAGAGAGCATGATGTAAGGTCCTGCATTATGGGGTTCCAATCCAAAGAGACACTTAGCAGCCATTTCCCCATGTTTGATGTCACCCTTTATTGCACAAACAGAAAGAAGTGTCGACCAGATTAAGGAATTTGGTTCATGGGGCATATTTTTAATTAAATCCAATGCTTCTCTCATGCAACCTGAACGCCCAAGGAGATTGATCATGCATGCATAGTGATCCAAAGTGGGTATTAATGAATGCTGTTTACTGATGGAATCAAAATATCTGCGTCCTTCTTCAATTAAACCAGCATGGTTACAAGCAGATAGAACAGCCACAAAGGTAATACTATCAGGTTTCAAGTTTTCTTGTAACAATTTTTCATAAAGGGCCAGGGCATATAAATCTTGTCCATTTTGTGCATAACCCGTAATCATGGCATTCCAAGAAATGACATTCCTAGATGGTATCATGTCAAAAACAACCCAGGCATCCCTAGTGACTCCACATTTGCAATACATATCAACAAGGGCACTAGACACAAGCAAATCATCATCAACTCCAAGAAGAATGGCTTTCCCATGAACAACCTGACCATGACATAAAGAGGCTAATCTTGCACAGGAACTAACCACACTAGAGATTGTAAAATTGTCAGGGTTGACACCTTCTAATAACATCTTGCCAAACAAATTTAGGGCATCTTCTTCCTTTCCATTCTGTGCATAACCAACAATCATTGTTGTCCAACAAACCTTATCCTTGTTTTTAATCATGCCAAAAATTTTACTTGCTTCATCTATCAATCCCCTTTGAAAATAAGCACCAAGAACATTCGAGACTGTAACCTCATCAGGTTTCAAACCACCTAATTGCATCTTCCGAAACAAATCAATACATTTCTCAGGTTGCCCATTTTTCAAGTACCCAGATATCATCGAATTCCACGAAACTATACTCTTATCTCTAATTCTATCAAACAACCACCGCGCTCTATCAATCTCACCACACTTACCATACATATCAGTCAAAGCATTCCACACAAAAACATTCTTTCCCAAACTACCAACAACAATTCTACCATGTATCTGGTTTCCTTTCCTCAAATCCAATAGCCGTGAACATGCATTCAATACACTCACGTGAGTGTACTCAGTCGGCTCAAATTCCTCTTTATTCATCCTCGCAAAAACTTCAAGCGCCCTATTGGAAAACCCACTTCCAGCCAAACCTGCAATAACAGTATTATACGAAACAGAATCACGAAGACGAAAAGGCATTTCATCAAACACCGCTATCAAATTCTCAATCGACCCAGATTTCGCATACGCAGAAAGCATAGCGTTCCAGGAGATAACATCTCTTTGAGGCATTTTATCGAACAGGTTTCGAGCATCCAAAATTTTCCCAGACTTAGCGTACAAGTGAAGGAGACGATTGTGCAGAAACGTGTCACTGGGTGTAAAATAGTGAAGATCCATGTGAGATTGCAATCTCTTGGCTTGGTCGACATCGTTGGCTCGGACGCATCCCAGCACGAGCCGCGTGTATGCTTCAGCGCTCGCCTGGCCACCGATGTACAGTGAGTCAATCGCCTGCCGCAGCTTTTGCCTGACTCTCATTTTTGGCAGGGGTTTTGTAATTTTTTGAATTATAGTTTTCTGTTACGACGAGTTAAACAACACGGCGGGAAAAAATGTGTTATTAATTGAAAAGTGACCGTTACGTGGACACTGGATCCCAAGGACATGCAACACTAAATGGGGAATTTATGGGGTTCACGTGAGTAAGATAGGGAAGCCCAAAGTTTACGGATGGGCAAATTTAAATTTGGGAAGTGCACAAATCTATTTTTTTAATGTTACAAAGGGGAGTTCACCAATAAAATTAAAAAGGAAAAAATATTTATAAATAACTATATAAATGTATGAGAAAAATGCTTTCCTTTTCAACTTTTGATAGTAAAAGCTCACCGTTATAATAAACATTCAGAGAGAAAAATAAAGAAAGAGAGGCGATTTGGTATACAAGACTTTTTTTGGTGTTAGATGGTTCACCCTCCCCACCTTAAATTCTCCCAGCATTGGCATTTGCTGTTCATCAAAAGAGGTGGTGTTGTTTGTTAGATGTTCTTTCAATTACTACAGCTGCTCTGTACTTTTCTTCCCTTCTCTTCTGTGGCTTTATCCCAACTCCAACTCAGCTTTATTTGTACTTCTATTTCACTACCTTTAATGATGGATTTTTAATTAGGCCGATATAAAGGAGTGTCTCAAAACACTTGTTAATTGATATCAAATCATTGTATTTAATTTTAAATTTCATGTTGAACAAATAAAATATATTAATAGGTTTATAATCGTGAGTATTACATACTTTGTTAAATTATTTTTTTGAAGAAAAGATAATAACTATTGTGATCTATACACATGCTACTAAACCAAATGTTTGGATATAATATCAAAGCATTATTTAATGAAAAAATATATTATTATAGTATTTATCCTTTCAAAAAATATAAGGAAGTGTCCACTATCCGTAAATATTTATTTCAATCTTTTTAAAAAAAATTATGAGTGCTAGTCAAGGTGTTAATTAATATACGGATTTGTGTGTTTGCTGCAATATAATATTTTGAGTTTGGTAAGAACAATACGTTACGTAATAAAATTAAAACATTATCTTTCACTATTGGTTCTATAAACACTTCTTACAATATTCTTCTTATAAATATTTTAATAATTAATATTATTGCAAATGTTGCGTGATTATAATGATTGTTGAAGGTGGAGAGCATATATAAAATTAATACTCCTATGTGTCACCAAATGAGATTAATAATATGTGTCACACATTTCCAGATAAATATTAAATTTAGAGATTCCTTTTGTTATTATAAAATTGGGGTCATGATTAAAACAGACGAATCAAAGGGTGAATTACGAAAAAGGCCAATAGACCAAGAGTGTTTAGAGTCAACTATCATATTAACATATATTTATCAAAAACGAAATAAAACTATAATAATTATTAGGAAGGAAATTGAAAGTACAACCATACCCTCAATATGATCTGAAGAAAAAGAGAAAGTGATGAGACAAGGGGGCCCGCCGGCGAGGTTGCACCATCGGCTGCCATTAGAGATGGCAGAATGGGGCATTAACAGATCTGGCTTGTTTAAGGTCGAAAAGAGGCTGTTCATGGCCGAATTTGGCCTTAAAAACCAGATCTGATGTCTCTGCATGTTTTTGATAGTCGCCCACGGCAACTCTTCCTGGCTTTCTTTCTCTCTTTAATTTTAGTAAACAGTTAAAAATTATAAATAAATAAACACGATATCCTTCTTTAAGATTATAATAACATTTACTTCCTTTTTAATTAATATTTTTTCTCCTGGAGCAAACACCAATTATTTTTGTTTTTTTCCCCCTTCTGTAATTTCCCAATAAAAAAAACTTAAATCCTACTGCAAACTTTTTTTTTCTTTTGGTAATATAATTTTGAAATAGTCGTTCAAGCAGTCTAATTTATATACTTTGGACATTTTCCAAGGTCTAAACTGTCATAATCATGCCTGCTGGGAGGCTTTGAGCAAGTCTTTCTGGTCCTGCAATTATGTTTCTAGTACCAAAATCATTATTATATTAAAGCAACGCGTAATCAACGCTTCACCAAACCATTTGGAGCGCGCACAAATTACCTCCATGAACGAAAGGCGCACACGCAAAACCAAAAAAGTGATAGAAAAAAATTAATAAAAGCCTAAAAAAAATGCTAAATTTTATATAAAAATGAAATAAAAACTGTAAAAATTTAAATGCCCCATCTATTACGAGTCAACCTCGCTGGTCAAATAGCTGTATAGAATAGTTTAGGTGCAAAAAATTGAGCCTAAATGGAAATTAAATAGACTTGCCAATATTATTTGAATGGCAATAATTTTTGAAAAGAAGACATTATTTTAAAATTTTTTAAACTTTTCATGAAAATTTTAAAAAATTATTATTTTTTATTATATTTAATTTTATTTTTATATTTTAATTATAAATCAAATATATTTTTATAACTAACTATTTATTAACGATTACTCATCTAAATGTCATTTTTCATTTTATGTCACGTTATATAAACATGATATATTGATATATTAAAGTAGATAAAGATACGATATATTGATATAATATGATAGTATAATTACATGATATTTTTATATTTCATGTGATATAAAAATGATTAAATATATTTTAATTAATAAAAAAATAATTAATTTATTTAATTTAAAATAAAAATTTAAACATTATTTTAAATATAATAAAAATAATAATTTATTTAAATTCTTATTAAAAAATTTAAAAATTATACTAAAAAATTAATTCATGAAATTTATTTGAAAATAATGGACATCAAGACATGTAAATGTTTTAGTAAAAGAGTTGGCGAGACATGCTGGTTTGTCTTAACCAAAAAGAAAAGAAAAGAAAAAACATAGAATCCAGGGTGGTGGGGTGGAATAAACGATAGATTATGAGGAGGAAATAAAGGGTGATAGATAGTTCCAAAGTAAAAAAGTGTGTTAGATAGATAAAGAGTAGATGCCACTTCCCCACTTTACGCACTCTCGTTCTTATCTTTTTCTAAAGCACGTCCACACTGAACCCAACTCTTTACGCTTCATCTGCTCTGCTCTGTCGTAAGATTCCAATATTCCATGCATTTCTCATTACCAATGGAAACTTGTCGGAATCCTGTTGGCTTTTTTCCCACGTCATCATACCAAAACTTTGGTCCATTTGTTACACTTGGAAGATGCAGAGTCTTATCGTGAAGAATAGATTGGGCAAGGGATGCAATAGAGAGTCGTTGTGTGGGTAATAAAAAACAAGGGGCATGCATTTGAGATACTGATAGCAGCAGGTTTTTCCATTATATAAATATATTCTGACAGCTATTTACTTGCAACTGAAGGGCTAATATTTCATTGTGTTAGTTGTGTTATAAGTTGTAACACTACCAAACAAAATTAATACTACTTCTCTTTCGTCCGAACAAAACACTCATAAAATCAATGCCAGCTCACCAATTTGCACTCAACTGGTTGGTTGTGGTCTAGTTGGTCACTCAAGCTCTAAACATGATTGAAAAAAATGTCCGTAAGTTCATCTATATATACCAATATATTTAATAAAAATTAAAAACAATTACCCTATTATAACATGTAAGCAAAATACGAATTTAAAATTAAAGTGCTCTTATTATACAAAATTTCAAATTATGTGCATATCTAAATAGTGAGGGACAACAAAATTGTCCTTTTTAAAAGTACAATAGAAGTCTAGCTAATATTTTAAACTAAAAAAGATTAAATCATATATTAAACATTTTATTCATTGATTGAAATATGATCCCATACTTAAAAGAACAAGATTTGAACTCTCTTTCTCCAATTATAAAAAATAAAAACAAGTCATACATTGCAATTAAGCAAGATGAGAATTAATTCCCAGAAATTATATTACTCTAACAACAAATTTTTGTATCCTCTCTTCTTTTTTTTTTTTTTTAAAAATTATCTCTTCTCTCTATATATCTCCCACAAAAGCATAAAAATAAATAATTTTTATCCATTTGTGATGAATTTTAGGTCACACATGCATTTCAAAAATATTGTAACACCATTATCAATGAAATAATAAAAAGGACATAAAAGAGAAATAAGTATTTTTTTAATCTTTTCACATTGAAAAAACTCTAGGGCGTTGGAATTTCAACAAAATTTTTTTTGACCGAAGGAAAAACAACATAAAACAAAATAAAATAAAATCAAGAAAAGTCAGCAATTATTTTCATTTTTTTTAAAAAAAGGAAAAGCATAACGGTTTACCACACGCGCTACTGACTCGGCTGCCTGCAGACAAAGAGCACATCATTTCTTTCTTTTCTTCTCATCCAATTTAAACACTTTTTTCTTTCTTTCTTAACCAAATCCTTTCACTGTCCGAAATTCGGTCTAATTTTCTCTTTGTTAACTTTTTTTTTATTTTTTCCTATTTGATGACATTCCCTGAACTTTCATTTTGTTTCCTTTAATGTCAAGCAAGAATTTCACTGATCCAAACAAACAAAAATAAGAAACAGTAAAGTAACCACCCCTTAAAACCTTCATCTTTAGGCCCTTTGCTCTTTTAATTCATTTTGTTTCCAGAAGTTTTAACATGTCGAATAGATTAAGGGACAGAGCTCCCAGCCAAGCCAAACGACACAGCCATCTACGCGAAACGGCGGCGATGCCTAATTACTGTACCGAAACGCTGACTTGTCCTTTGGGGGAGCTGGCGACGAATTTATCGGATTCGGAACTCCGGGAGACGGCTTACGAGATCCTGGTAGGGGCCTGTCGGAGTTCAGGCGGGAAACCGCTGACTTACATATCACAGTCGGAGAGGAATTCCGAAAAGGCGCCGGCGCCGACATTGACGTCGTCTTCGTCGTTGCAGAGGTCGTTGACGTCGACGGCGGCGAGCAAGGTAAAGAAGGCTTTGGGGTTGAAGTCGTCTCGGAGGAGGAAGTTGAATGGTGAGTCGGACTCGGAACGAGTCAAAAAGGCGGTTACGATTGGGGAGATGTTGAGGGTTCAGATGGGAATTTCAGAGCAAACGGATTCCAGGGTTAGAAGAGCTCTGTTGAGGGTTGCTGCTGCTCAGGTTTGTTAAAAAGTTGCATAGT